AAGAGAAATTTATCAAATTAATAGTTCTAGAGCAGGTTTGGTCAGCAACCAAAGCCTTCCTGGACATTGCTGGAAGTCAGGGAAAGAAGACCCACCATAGTTTAATTTGCACCGTGGTTTTTAGGAGGATACTGCACTTTGCAAGCAAGTTAGCAGCTTTTGGGTTGCCCTTCATTTGTGGCCAGCTTTACGGCTTTGTGGTTATCAGCAGAATTTCTAACCCTTATTGCTAATAAGAAATAATAGATGCTTGAAAAAAAATTCTACCCTGCTCCAAAAAAAACCCCAAAATCATGTATAGCTTAGGCCATGATATTCAGGTTTCTTTTTAGCTGAGGATATTTGGTGGCAGATGTCTGTACCATGAAAAGATGACAGATAAAATGTGTGTTGTCCCAACGAGTCAAAGAAATCACTCACCTAATAACAGTAATTACACTGTGCAACTGTGCTGTTCTGCATGCTTAAGACCATAGAAATATTAGCTAATTAATCCTTTCAACACTGCTGTGCAGTTGCTCTAGCTGGTACTATTATATTCCTACTGTAAGAGAAGAAAAAAAAACAGAAAAGTTTGACTGATGTGCTTTGCAGCAGTGAACAACCTCAAATTTCAGGAATTTATTCCAGTGCAGTGCCTTGAAGGCAGGAGGAGCATTGGCAGCAGGGCAGGGAGGGATCCTGGCCCTGTGGGCAGCCCTGGAGGCAGCTCTGGAGTGCTGTGTCCAGCTCTGGCTCCTCAGCACAGCAGGGCCAGGGAGCTCCTGGAGCGGGGCCAGCGGAGGCTGCGCAGCTGAGGAAGGGCCTGGAGCATCTGGGTGCCCAGGAAAGGCTGAGGGAGCTGGGGCTGCTCAGCCTGGAGAGGAGCCCCAGCTGAGAGGGGCCCTCAGGCCTGGCTGGCCCTGGCTGCAGGGAGGGCTCCCAGCAGGGCCCAGCCTCTGCTCCGGGGGCCCAGCAATGGCACCAGAGCCACGGGCAGGGCCTGATGGCAGCAATTCCCCCTGGCCAGGAGGCACAACTTCTTCCCTGGCCACTGCCCAGCCCTGAACACATTGGCCACAGAGGCTGTGGGCTCTCCTGCCTGGGGCTGTGGCACAGCTGTGTGCACACAATTCTGTGTCCTGTGCTCTGGGATGTGCTCAATCCAGCCTGAGCCATCCTGGGATTTTGTTTGTTCCTATTCTTTTCCTACAAAACACCAAGGATTCGTAGCACTGCAAGTATCCCATAGAGTGGATTTTCTATGCCCTTTAACGACATCTCTACACCCTGTATTTCTTGAGCTCTTTGGTTTAGCATTGCTTTAAACTGTTCATTAATGTGTTCATCAGGCTTGTGTTTGTGGTTTTGTGCTGACCTAAATTTCCATGAAAAGCACTGATTTTTATGCTTGAGAGAGAGAATATCACAATCCTGGAATCATCTATTATTTGCAGTATGAAATTACTAACACTGGATTAGCATCACCCTTGACACATGCACGCAAATCCAGCTTCCAGTTCTGTCACACTCCTCTTTGCTCCTTTGTGCTGAACTTTTCCCCCAGAATTTCCACTAAAAGCTGAATTCTCATCCCCTTTCTTGTAGTTTAGCTTATCTTAGTTTTGATTGTATAGTACCTGCAATCTCCAATGCTCTGACCGATCCCAGCCTCATCAGAGCATTCTAAGGAAGAGAAATTTATCAAATTAATAGTTCTAGAGCAGGTTTGGTCAGCAACCAAAGCCTTCCTGGACATTGCTGGAAGTCAGGGAAAGAAGACCCACCATAGTTTAATTTGCACCGTGGTTTTTAGGAGGATACTGCACTTTGCAAGCAAGTTAGCAGCTTTTGGGTTGCCCTTCATTTGTGGCCAGCTTTACGGCTTTGTGGTTATCAGCAGAATTTCTAACCCTTATTGCTAATAAGAAATAATAGATGCTTGAAAAAAAATTCTACCCTGCTCCAAAAAAAACCCCAAAATCATGTATAGCTTAGGCCATGATATTCAGGTTTCTTTTTAGCTGAGGATATTTGGTGGCAGATGTCTGTACCATGAAAAGATGACAGATAAAATGTGTGTTGTCCCAACGAGTCAAAGAAATCACTCACCTAATAACAGTAATTACACTGTGCAACTGTGCTGTTCTGCATGCTTAAGACCATAGAAATATTAGCTAATTAATCCTTTCAACACTGCTGTGCAGTTGCTCTAGCTGGTACTATTATATTCCTACTGTAAGAGAAGAAAAAAACCAGAAAAGTTTGACTGATGTGCTTTGCAGCAGTGAACAACCTCAAATTTCAGGAATTTATTCCAGTGCAGTGCCTTGAAGGCAGGAGGAGGATGAAGGCCCACCTTAGCAGGCGGTTCAGATTGCTGGCTGCTTTTGCCCTTAATTTTATTCTGTTTCAGGACTGCATTATCTGCCAAAGCAGCTGTTAAAATGATGGTAGACAGGACAGTTCTAGGGGCACAAGAGCTGCACAAGCAGCTCCTGACAAACACAAATTCACCCCTCAGCAGTGCTGGGAGCCTGTAATGCAGAGGGGAATTACCACAGGTTACCTTTGGTCTGCCAGCTGCTGAGGGGAGAAAAGCAGCTGCTGGTAAGTGCCAGCTGTGAAGATCTAGATTTAATTTATAGACTGAAAGAACAAGCTGACACAGCATTTTCTGTAAAAGAGACGAGCTGTGGTTCTTGTGAGAAGTGGATTGGACACAGAAGTCTATGGCAGCTCCACTCCAGGTGTTTCTGGTCGGTGGCCTCAGCAAATGAGGCTTTTTTCAGCACTTCAGGTAGTAGATATTTCACACTCATCTCCTGTTTAAAACCCTGTAAAAAGTATGAACTTATTGCAGCAGACCTCTTGCTGGGGGTAGAAATGAGCCAAAACACAGACTCTCATTAAACAATGTGGAAAGTCTTGGTTTGTGTTTTTTTACAGCTTAGCCATTCTGACTCTGACTACAGCAAGCTCCTACTGTAAGGTCCAGCTGCAGACTCTGCCTGCTGGTTTATTTCCTGCTGGACTATGACTGCAAGTATTAGTTTGCAGACTCTGACCACAGGCTTTCACCTTGCTTGACTATGATCACAGGCTCCAATTCCCTCAGACCCTGCCCAACCTTGAAGCAGATCTTTTATAGCAGCAACTCTCTTCCTTGTTTTATTCTTTGTGTCTCTCTGAATTGTTCCATCTTCCTCAGGACTCATCCACCTCCTCAAGGTTCTCCCTGACTAGCCAACCCACCCCTTTTATCATACTTTTCCTTATTAGTCACAGCTGTGACACATTAAGGGCAAGGCTGTTCCTCTTCTTTGTTAATTAGTACAGCTGTGACTTACCAGGGGTGAGGTCACCTGTATTCCCTTCTTCTACACCTACATGAGCTAATCATAAATTAAATTAAAACTATGGATTAATGTTGTTGCTGTTGCACCTTGATAAATCTGGTGATGAAACTTGTATGGAGTTTTCAGTCTTTAGAACTAGGTTGTATTTCAATTCCTCAAACTACAGTGGCTTCAAGAAGTGTCAGCTGTCTGTAAACCCCAAAATAGAAGTCAGGATGTGTTGCCTTCATGCCATGACCTCTATTTTTGAGAGCAGTTGTGCTGACCCTGCTCAGCACTGTAATGTGCCTCAAAAGCTCCTGGGCAGAAAGCTGATTTCCTCTCACCTAGACTGCTCTGCCCTTCCAGTTCAGGGGTCTTGTAAAGCCAGCTGTGTGTTCCTGTGGTGCCACATTGAGGGGAATGACGAAAAGCACATCTGAAAGCCTGTGGAACTTGCTGTGGAACAGTGGAACTGTGGAAAGCTTGGTGGAACTACTTCCTCTGTCCCTGAAAAACAAAGCTTTTCTCTGTACCCATCTGTAGGGCCTGCTGAGGGCTCCAAAGTTATGAATGATCCAATTGATGTTCTTGGATCTCTTTTAAGGTTGCAAATAAAGATGCAAATCACTGGCATCTTTTAGAGTCTAATTTTTGCCCCTTGGCAGCCAGCTCAGAACAGGCTGGTGTTGGGCAGTGCTGTGATGCCTCCCTACTCTCAGAAAATACTCAGTGGATGGTGTGAAAGGGAAGAGCCTAGAAGAACACAGATATTGGAGATTGTCAGGTTTTAAAACCTCATCTGATCCCTCCCTGCTGTGCTGAATCAAGGACAAAGTTGTTGGTCATGGCACAGACAACGTTTTTAGTCTTACTGCAGGCTTAAATGCTTTTTTTTCATATTTCCCTTCTCATTTGTCAGCATCTCTGCAGCGGTTTTTGACCCCATAATGTATTTCTGATCAGCTCTGACACAGGAGTAGAGCTCCCACAGCTTGTTTATTTAGTTCTGAAGGAAAACTGCATCAGGCTATAGACAATAAACTGAAATTATCATCAGTGAGAGAGAAAGTATGCTGTGGGTTCCACGGTTCCTGGCTGTATTTCTTTCTTCTGACCACTTGGAATCAGCCACACTTTATGCCATCTCTAACAAGGGGTAATTTCTGGATACCAGAAGGAGCTGAGAGTACTGGTTACACTGAGGGAGTTGAGGAGAGGGGAGGTTAGGCAAGTGTATTGGATGAATTCATGGGCATTGTGAGGAAAGCTGGTGGTATTGCAGGGGACAGCTGGAGCAGGTCCCTAAATTCTGGTATCCTAATTTTCCATCGCTTGGAAAACATTCACTTGTATTTTTAGTTGAAGAGTGTGAAGGGAAATTGATTCTTGTCTGTCCTGTCTCATGCTCACGAATGCCAGTGGATGTAGCTTAATAACAGCACAAGGGCAAGCCTTTTAATATTCTTTTCCTTCTGTGTGCTCTAAACTGTCTGGTTCTGCTTTGATGGGATGCTTTTGGATGCTGTTAAGTACTGTTGAATGGCTTTGTATTGGTATTAATTTTTCCCCCCCTCCTTGGGATATTTTATTGAATTCCTGTTCAGCTTTTTCTGGCAGTTTGAAGGTTGGGAGTTTATTTCTCAATGGGCACAGGGGCTGTTGAACTCCCTTCAGGTGGAATTCCTTCTCCCCTGGGGCAGGACTTTGTCCCCCAGCCTCAGGAGTGCAGCCCACACTGGTGTGGTGGGGCACCCCAGCTGCCTTTGTTTCTTTATCTTCCCCTGGATTATACTCCTGTGAACTGGACATTTTTGCTTGGAATTTGAAGAGTCACTGCATGTGTGTCTCACCTGTGTGATGCCCTCACTCTTTGATCCACCCTAAATAGCACTTGGGAAGTGATTTTCTGGATCTGACCACAAAATAGAGCTTTTCTCCCTTTTCCCCTGCCAGATCAGCCTTCTGCCCACTGCTGCAGAGCAGCCAAGCTCAGGGCACAGCCTGCAATCCCAAACTATTGGGACTTGGCAGTTAGTTGAAAATATTAATTAACATTTTTTCTATTAACGAGGAGCCAGTTTTCTGGAAAGCCCCCTGCAAAAGTGAATATTCACAGCACTGCACAACTCGTGGCTGTTGAATTCTGGGCAGAAAGGAAATTCATATGTTTTATAGGGAGTGCTGATGCTTTAGTGGGTGGAAAGGCCACCAGAAATGACAATTGGGAAGATTTGGCTCTAATCGGTGATGGAGGATATGCCATAGGGGGAACTCAGGGGAAAACTTATTCCAGAGAAGGAAAGCTGCCACACTGCTCTGACCTGATATTTTCTTATTTATATTTCAAAAAGCGCTTGTGATTATAAAAGTTTCTGGATTCTGAAAATAAATTGTGCTAAGATTTTTTTCTTAGTACTAACTCTGCTACTTGTACTCTTTGACAGGTCTGGTAGAACACTCAGTGTTTTACTGAAGTACAAGATTCAAGAAGTGTTAGTTAATAATTAGGTTTTTCTGTTGGTCTTTGCCTGCATATTCACCACTTTTTAAAGTAACTAGTAATTACTAGATTACTAGTAATCTAGTAATTAGATTTTGCAAGGCAATAATAGCTGATATATCTTTTTCAAGTGTGGTGGAATGTCAAAGGTTGGACTCAATGGTCTTGGCTGTCTTCTTCATCCTTAGTGAATTTCAATGAAATTTCTATGAAATTTGCCTCCACTCAGAATTTAAAGTGATTTTTCTCATTTTACAGGGTTTATTTCTCTCCCCCCACTCCCTTTCCACCCTTTTAGTTATGTTGCCCATCCAGTTTACATTGTGTAACACAAAAAGAGACTCTGTGTTAAAACAGCTTGCATTTTGTTGTTGCTAATTAGTGTGAAACAGATAATGGGATATGTTACTGCTGGGTTGAAAGTGGGAGTAAGAGGAGAAAATCAAAAATTATTAATCTGAACACCTGACATTATCTAGCACAAAGGAAGAATTCCCTATATACCAGCAGTATTAAATGAGAATGCATTTTGAAGGTGTATTGAAGTGGAGTGATTATTTTAGGATTGTGGCTTTTATTACTGCATGAAAGCCTTTCTCCTCTCATCCAATATAATTTTATGTTCTAAACTGTCAAACAAAATCCTGCTCTGATTGCATTATGGAGATGTACCCAGAGTGTGTTTTACCACTCCCATGCAGAGGGTTTTTTCTTTAAAAAAAGATATTTTGTGTGTGAAACCCTTGAGGATGGATAATAATGGCTTATATCACCGAAGAAAGCTTGTTCTGGGGGAGAGGATGGAACTTGGAGTAAGTAGTGCTTAACTGAGTGTGCGAGGTGAAGAGTGAGCAGTGTTCATTGATTCCCTGCTGTTGGAATCTCTCTGTGCCCATGTGTCAGAGCTGTTCCTAAGCCAGGAAGCCAAAATCTGTGATTGTCTCATGATTTTAGAAACTGTTTGGGTCTTTCCTTAAGGCAATGTCTCTGTTTCCCCTGACCAGTCAATACAGCCAGAGCACTGTTTTTCTTTGCTTTGCAGCCCCGAAGTAATGCTGAACAACACTCCTGGAGACTGGTGGGTGGGAATTGAAACATTTACAAACTTCTGAATCCTTTCTGCATTTCCCTGGAGGCACAGAGTGAATGTTGCTGTGCCTGTGGGTGGGGGAAGCAGCCTTTCACCTGGCCACAAAGTACAGGATACTCCATCCTGGGAATCCTCACATCTCCTTCACCTGATGGAGGTGAAGGATTTGGTCACAAAGAAGTCATCTGAAATGGAGGCAAGGGTTCTTTAAGTCATTGTCCTTGTCGATGTTTGGCAGATGAATAAATGGGCAGATGCTTCTGGAGTGGTGCTGGTGTTTGGGTGGAGGCACATCCTGGTGCTTGTGCTGGGTGGTCTGCAAGTCTCTGGCTCCATGCAGGACCAGCTGCACAGGCTGGGGCAGCACAGCCACCAGCGAGCCAGGGGCAGGCAGGGCTTTTTCCAGGGCCCTGCCTTCTCCAGGAAAGCAGGGAAACAATTCCTTTTTCCATAGGAGACATACTTGACTGTAGTACAACATGTTTAACATTCGCACGTAAACAAAATGTTCTTGTTCCTCTGAGATCCCTCAGCTTCATGAGGAGCTTGTGATGGGCTGCTGCACCAAACCTGTTTCATTTCCCTTCTGTCCAAACCATCCAAATCCAGTTTCTCCTTTAATTTTAACTAGACACAAGACAAGTGTCCTGTAAATAAAACCTGTTTACAATTAACATATTTTTACATCCCTCTCTCTTGCTTATCAGACAAGAAGGAGTTGTTAGACTTGTGATGGGGGGAGAAATGCAAACCTCAGCTGTAGAGCTGTCGTTCTGTCAGCCACTTTTACATCTTCTGTATCAGAACCCTGTGTTTCACTCAGAACTCACAGTTTTATCTCTGGAGCTGCTGCTGTGATGGGCCTGTGCTTTGGAGAGGTTTTCCTGCCAATTTTGTCTAATAGCACGTTCCACAAGGCCAAATGTTGTCTGCTAAGGGATGAGATGTACTAATGTATTTCATTGATCTCCTGCTAAAAGTTAGAGACTTTTTTCTTTGTCACTTGTGTTTTTCCCTGCAGGATCTTGTTGACAGGAGCTACAGAGCTTTGGAGGCTTCTTGAGGGTCTTTTTGATGAGCTGCTGCTTTGAATGATTGCCTTGGCTAACCCGAGACATAGGTTCTGTGTAATGATATCTGTGCTGCTGTGCCTTTGGACTCCACAGCAATATCTTCCTAAATTCCATTGTTGCCCTTTGGCAGAGCAACACCATGGTGTGCACACGGAAAGCTCAGAGAAATTCTGTGAGTGTCACAGCATTTCTCTTGGCACATCATCTTTTATA